TGGAAAAGGTGGATAGAATATGTTCAGAACAAATACCAAACTAGAAAGTACCAAATAGCTTTTATTTGAAAATAATGTATTAGAAATATCTTAATGTAAAGAGATAAAGAGGGAAAATAATATAGGGGGAGGGATGGGTTCAGGTATATATATCAGTATTATTAGTTACAAGTACATAATAGGGAAGTCTGGGGGGGAGGGTTAGGGAGGGTTAGGGAGGATGGGAAGTTTGGGGAGGGAGGTGGGGGGGTGAAAAAAGGGGTGAAAATGTAATTGTAAAACTTTTGCAATAAAAAAAAAAATAGTCCGTATACTTTGTTTTTTCCTCAATGTGTAAGCCAACCATCTGCCCGGTTTATTAGCGTTACAAAATGTGTTATGCTTCGCATATTGTAAGTTTGTTGCAACTTGTTCCGCCATAAGCATTTGAAATTGGTCTTTCAAAAGTTTTATAGCACTACGTATTCTTTCATCTGTTGGATTTTTAATAAGTAACTGTTCTTTATTCTTTATTTCTATTTCCAGTTCAGATCTTTTCTTTTGTCGGAACAGTCTATGTTTAGAGTTCATGTAGATAAGTACCCCTCTCATATAAGCTTTACTTGCATCCCACACAATTTCAATTGGGGTACCTTTATTCAAATTTATTTCAAAAAATTCTTTCAAATGCTTTTTAAGTTCTGTTGTATTTTTTTCATATCTAAACAAATTCTCATTTAATCTCCAAGAACGTCTCTCAACCTTGTCCATCTCGATTTCTATCCATACTGGGCTATGGTCAGTCAAAATTCTTGGAAAAATCTTTGTTCTTTTTGTCTTAACAAGTAAATCATCTGTCAACAAAATAAAGTCAATCCTAGAGAAGGATCTGTGTCTGTCAGAAAAAAAAGTATAGTCCAATTCTTTTGGATTATGTATTCTCCAAACATCTTTTAGTTCCATATCTTCTTTCATGTCAAAAAAGGTCTGTGGTAATCTGATCCTAGACTTTGCCAAACTCTTTTTATCTAATTTAGAGTCAATTACTCCATTCCAGTCTCCCATAATTAAAATAGATCTGTAATCCCATTGCAATATTTTAGTATGTAACATCTTATAGAAATAGTCCTGTTGTTGATTGGGAACATAAATCCCAATCAGAAGAATTTGGCCATTTGCTGTAGACAATTCAATTGCTACAAACCTACCATCTTCATCTGTTTCTATAACTTTAGCTGTTAACTTTTTATTTACATAAATAACCACACCATTCTTTTTTTGCGAAGTTGAAGATATAAAATGTGTTCCTAGTTTGGAGTTTATCAAATATTTTTGATCTTGAGTTGTGATATGTGTTTCTTGTAAACAAATTATATCATTATTAAATTGTTTCAAATATGTAAATAATTTCTTCCTTTTCTGTGCTGAATTCAACCCATTAACATTCCAGGATAAACACTTAAACATCATCAGCCTCTTTCTGGAGCAAAGAGCAAAATAATTGAAGGTCATCCGAAAGCTTCGATCTCGCTCCTCCCATGGCTCCAGTCTCTTGTGCAGTACTCTTAACTGCCTCCTTGTCTTGTCTTTCCTGTTGTTGCTTTTGTTTAAGTAACTTAGATTGAGCTCGAGTTATACGTTGATCCTTAACTTCAATCATCCGAACCGGGTCCAAGATTGGAGAAGATTCCAGCAAGGGCTCATCCAGAAAACCTCCTTCTGCACCTTGCACTTCCTCTAATTCCTGCTTAGACTGTTCTTGCAGTTCTTGTTGGGGTTGCTTCTCTTCACTCTCTTTAATCTCCAAAACTGTAGATGTACGTGGAGATGGTGTTCTTTCCTTAAGAATAGTAGTGTAGAAGTGCTGTGCCTTCTCCACGGTATTCAAACGGTATCTTTCTCCCTTGTATCTGAAAATTATGCCAACTGGTGCGTCCCACCGGAAAGGTATCTGTAAATTTTGCAATTCCTTAACAAGAAAGCCAAATTCTTTTCTAGCTTTCAGCATTTTAGGAGGCAATTCTTTATAAATTCCAATTCGTGAGCCCCCCACTTGTACAGAAGTGTAAAAGGATTTTTGCAGGATATCGTTTCTTATTTCTCTATCTGTAAAATATATGACCACATCTCTAGGTAATTGTCTTTGTCTGGCCGCCCAGGAGTTCACTCTGTAAATTTTGTCTATTTTGTGAAAAACCACATCTGGATTAACTTGTAAAATCTTAGCCAGGGCCTCAGAACAAACTTGTCTCAAATCCTGTCTTTCCTCCTCTCGAATTCCTCGAAGCCGTATAGCAAACTCCATTGCCCTGAATTGTATCATGACAATCTCGTTTTCAACTCTTTGCATTTTATTGTCAACATCAGCAATTTTATAATCATTGTCTTTCATCTTAACATTAACTTCTGATTTAAGTTCTTCAACTTTAAAATCAACTTTCCCAATAAATTCTGCCAGGCCAGATGCCACTTCTGATATTTTTTTGGTCACCTTGTTTTGATTCTGTTTCACCATATCTTTAACTTCATTAATTTCCTGCATAAACTCCTGATGTGATTTTTGAAGTTTATCATCTATCTCCTGTTGAGATTTTTGAAATTTGTCATCCAAAGTTCTAGAAATAAATTCTTTTAAATCTCCCACATCAAATTCTTTTTTCTGAGTCTGTAGCTGTTAAGCAGGGGGAAGCTGCGTTTCATGTTTGTGTGTGGGGGATCCCCCCCCTGTTGCCTTCCCTTCCTGCTTCTTTGAAGCCATCCTGCCACGTGATCTAGTTTTTCTAAAGAGGGAAGTTCCTTTTCCTTTCCCTCCTGCACAAAGACTTCTAAAAAAGTCCCCCAGATTTGATCAAATAAAGGTTGAAGTAAAGCAAAGTCAAGTATTAAAAAGGGAGAAATTTTCCACTTGTTTCTCTTATTACAAACAAGGCAACTTTGTAGCAACTTGGAAACTTTGTAACAAAACAAGATAACTTCACCAATCCACACTCGCTGGCTCATTAACTCTAAGGCTGAGCGCCATGTTTTTTCAAAGCACTTTCACTCATTCGCATTTTTCTCAGTTTAAAAAGTCAACAAAGCGCTAATACTTGCGTTTCCAAGTTTCAGGATTCAGGTAATTTCGCTGTTTATTAAAGCTGGTTCTTTTCGCTTTAAGTTTCCTGCAGCCGGCTTGTTCTGCAAAAGCAGAATCGTCCCACGTCGCCCGGAGTTTCAGCAGGTTGGGAGGGAGCCACACCTGTTCTCTCCCCAGAAACTTCCCTGGGGGGTTACAGGGGCTCGACCTGTGCCCTGCGATCTCTTCTTCCTCAATCCTATGGATTTGGAAGTTTTCGAGCCGCTTCTTCGTCTCGGAGCGGCTCTACGGGCGGCGGGGCTGGCAGAGCTTCAAAAGGTGCCGCCGTCGCCGAAGACAGGGAAACCGGAAGTCCTCATAAAACCCTTTTCGATGACCCCTCTGTGCTAGATTCTTGAATGTAGCTATAGACTTAGAAACTAGAATTGGGAAATTGGCTTACTGTAGTCCTCTGGGCTTGCCTGGGTTGTTCCTGATCTTACCAAAGCACCAGAAGGCAGGACTAGAAGTAATGGGTGGAAACTAATGAAGGAGAGAAGCAACTTTGAACAAAGGAGAAATTTCCTGATAGTTAGAACAATTAATCAATGGAACAACGTGCCTCCAGAAGTTGTGAATGCTCCAACACTGGAAGTTTTAAAGAAGAAATTGGACAACCATTTGTCTGAAATGGTATAGGGTTTCTTGCTTGAGCCAGGAGTTGGACTAGATCTCCAATGTCCCTTCCAACACTGTTATTCTGTTATTTCATTACCCATGGCACACAAGCCTATATACTTACCAGTTTCTTTAAGAGGTTAAAACAAAAGATATACTGTATGTGGGCACAACATTTAGCCTTAGATTCTATGTGCTTTGGCTGAGGCTTATTGCTATTGATTATATGAGTGGCAGTAATGAATAAAGCCTCTGAAAAGGGGGACCTTGCATGGGCAAACATCTTAAATTCACAACAAACAGAATATTCGGGACAGACACCTTCCTAATTCACGGGAATATAAAAAAGGGTAAGAGGTCCAGCCCAATCAAACTTGCAGGATTCTGTTATCATTGCCAATCTCAATAAAAGTATTCTTTGCCTTCCTGGGGAGTTGATTTCCTGATCTGTAAGACTGACAAATCCTCAACAAGACAACTGTGTGGGCAAGAGTTGTCTTACTGTTGTACACCCCTACATGCCAGGGTACCTCTGCCTTCTGTCTGTATTTCTCTGTTGGCTCTCATTGTCTCTCCTGTGAAGCCTTTCTCAAGGCAATGACCAGTATATTTGCCTATTCAGCTTCTATTTGTGAATTGTTTTATCTGAGTACTTGTTAATGATAACTTTTATATGTTTTAAAATATTTTAATAGTTAAAATAGCTTACCACCAGCAACAGGTTTTAGGACATTGTGTTACTGGCAACATGTAGACATTATATAACTGTTTGTTTGTTTGTTTGTTTGTTTATAAAAATGGTCAAAAATGATCATGAGGGTGGCTGCGATACTGTGATGGAAACTCCTACCTATTTTTAAATGTGTGACATAAAAATGGGCAGAGCTTGCACCACACCATCATGGGCACTATATTGCAGTGATGAAATTCAGCCGGTTCTCTCCGGCTCGAGTGAACCAGTAGCGCTGGCGGCAGGAGTCTCCGCCTACCCGCCCAGATATCATCATGTCCCATTTTTGACCCTCTGTGCATGCACAGAAGGCTCTGTGCATGCGTGGAGAAGGTATGCGTGAGCACAGCGCGTGCATGCACACGAGCTCACATTTCCAAACCGGTAGCGAAGGTAAGTAAATTTCACCCCTGCTATATTTATTTTATTTTTATCATACCCTGTAGATATGCCTAACTGGACTTCTGCCCAAGACTCTCTCACTCCCTGTTGAAAAGTTGAGTAAGTGATGGTGGCACTTCTGGACTGCTGATCCCTACTTCACTTTCCTTTTTTTAGATTCGCAAGAGAAGTAAAGCGTGTCGTGGGGGCCTAAGGGAAAATGATGAACTTCTATCTGTTAATGGAAAGCCATGTGCCGGCCTCTCCCATGCCACCACCATGCAGATCATCGATTCTTCCAGTAGCACCCTCAGCATTGTTGTTACAAGGTAAGGGAACCACTGGTGGGCCTGAGTGAAAGATTGATTACTCCAAACCATTTGGATAAATTGAGTATTTTTAACTGGAACCACACCGTTGAATGCTTTTCATAAAGTTCTGGTGGAATCATACCTGATTCACAAATGTCACCAATTATCTCTCTCTTCCACTCAGGCGGAAGCATGCACAGTACAAAGCAATGCCAGGTTCTGCTCTGATATTTATTGTACATATTTTGCAGAAATGTTCATACCAGAATGAGATCTATGAGACTCTGATGCACAAACATTTAGACCAGGCTGAAGCCCACTTCACAGCATTTTGGTAGTCTCTTCTAAGCAGGATGTCAGACTTGTTGTATCAGCTTTCCTATGCAAAATTCATAATAACACCTTGAGTGTCTTTTAAAACCTAGTTGTTGGTACTGTATAGTACCAGAGTATTCGGGATGTAGGGCCCTTAATATTGTGGATATTATGGCTGAAATGTAATTCCATGATATAGATTCAATGCAATACATTGTGTACATTCAGAGTTTTTATCTTCTAGATTTCTTACCTTAAAAATATTGTTAAACTAATACTTTTTAAAAAAATGCTTGGTGTAACTTCATTGGGATATGAACTTCAGGATCAACTGAGATTTTTTGTATATGTTTGATTGTTTTATATGTGTGTATAGTATTAGTTTAACATTTAACATTTCTAAGAAATCTAGAAGATAAAAGCTCTGAATATACGATATGTTATGTGTGTGTGTGTGTGTGTGTGTGTGTGTGTGTGTGTGTGTAGGTCTTTGGTTATTCAGGTTTTCTCCCGCGTAAAATTGGAAGTGTCTTGGCGACGTTTTGACGCTTCGCCAAGACACTTCCAATTTTACGCGGGAGAAAACCCGAATAACCAAAGACCTACATACAAATACCCGCAAAAACCTCAGAAAACACACACACACACACACACACACACACACACGTGTGTGTGTGTGTGTGTGTGTGTGTGTGTGTGTTTTTCCTCTAGCCAGGTTTTTCCTACGTAACCAAGGTTTTTCTGCAGCCCTAGCTCAGTAGAATCACATCCACTCGATTCTGGGCTTTTTTTTCTTTCTGGCAGCCAGCAAGTTCTTGCTGCCAGGTGAGAGACTTATATAGATCTATTTCTGGCTCGTTAGCCATCATCAGTAAGTCACACCCACATCTCATGTATCCTCCCTGTAAAGGTACAATATCTATTTTCTTACTTCTTCGTAGGATTTATGTATGTTTTTCCTCTAGCCAGGTTTTTCCTATGTAACCAAGGTTTTTCTGCAGCCCTAACTCAGTAGAATCACATCCACTCGATTCTGGGCTTTTTTTCTTTCTGGCAGCCAGCAAGTTCTTGCTGCCAGGTGAGAGACTTATATAGATCTATTTCTGGCTTGTTAGCCATCATCAGTAAGCCACACCCACATCTCATGTATCCTCCCTGTAAAGGTACAATATCTATATAAGTCTCTCACCTGGCAGCAAGAACTTGCTGGCTGCCAGAAAGAAAAAAAAAAGCCCAGAATCGAGTGGATGTGATTCTACTGAGATAGGGCTGCAGAAAAACCTTGGTTACGTAGGAAAAACCTGGCTAGAGGAAAAACACACATAAATCCTACGAAGAAGTAAGATATAGATAGATAGATAGATAGATAGATAGATAGATAGATAGATAGATAGATAGATAGATATAGATATAGATATAGATATAGATATAGATATAGATATAGATATAGATATAGATATAGATGTATATATAACAAAGTAGTATGTCCCTGTCAATGTTTTGTCTCAGCAATTTGTTAAAAATCTTTGAGATGAAGATATGTTACAAAATCTTGAATGTATCCTGAATATTGCTTTTTAAAAATATTTGATAAAGTCCACACTAAAAGCTCTTATAGAAAGTTAGTAATCATAGGGAAAGGATCCTTGCAGATGATGCTGGTGGCTTAAGTTAGAAACAAATAAGGAGCAAGATGAGCTGTGATGTCATTCAAGCCGGCAGCTGCTAATGTAACATTGGTACAACTGGAGAGTCTCAGGGATTCCCAGCAGTTAAGCTGAGAAGAGTGATTCTATTTCAAACAAGTTCTGTTCTAGTCACACATTCTTTGTCTGTCTGTCTGTCTGTCTGTCTGTCTCTCTCTCTCTCTCCTCCCATGGAGGATTCATGGCAGCATTATAGATGTCTGTAAATTATGGTATGGCACGTTACCAGTTCTGCAATATTAGCTATGCTGGAAGGAGGTACAATATTGCATGGAAGCTAATGAAAAGCAATGAAAAGCAATAGAGAAGCTTTCCTGAATATAAAATGACAGAGTTTGAAGGCCATCTTGCCCAACAGATTTTGAGTACCAGCTCAGGGTAGGAATCTAAATGAAAGGATTCCAGGCAGAAGGCTAAGGAGCTCCCATTGTCTTTCTGAGTAATTGAATTCTAACAAGCAGGAGCAATTTCCTAACTATCCCTTGGAATGTACCTTTTTGCAATCCAAGCCTCTTATCCTGCCCTCTGGAATGAGAGAAGTCTGCTTTGAGCTTCTTCTGTCTGATGTTTTTCTGGCTTCTTTGAAGAGTTCTACCATATTTTCCCCACAAGATTCTTCCAGTTCAAGACCTCCACAGGATTTGTACGACTCCATAATGTGTGAAGCTTTCAGTCATCTTTATGCATAGAGATGATTAACATTGGAATTTAATCAGAGCCATTACTGCTCCTGGGGGAGGAAATGGGTCAGTTTGCTGCATTGCTTCTCCATCTGAGGTTCTCCACTAGTGAGAATTGCATCCACTTCCTTGCCCTCATGGCATCCACTCCCTGGGGTCTCCCTTTTTTTCCACAAGTGAAGGCACCAGGCCATCTTCTAACTGCTCTGGAGGGTGGTGGGGCGGGGCACTAGTTAATTACTGTTTTATTGCCCCATTAACCATCTGGAGGGAATGCTGGCCCATTTGGGGAGGAGAAAGATGAGGACACTTCAAACTCATGAAAATTTGGGCTCAAAATGAAGCCCGTCCTCAGAGCCTTCCTCCACTTCAGAATGATGGTCTGCCATTCTGTCTGGACTATGCTTAACATGCTCCTCCATTGGTGATTGCCCTGCTTCCTTATCACCTTTTCCAGGAAATCCAGCAGCAGCCCCTTTCCTTTCTGTGGAAGGCTTTGAGGATTTGAGGTTTTCATAGATAGACCTTTCATATGTGCACTCTTGCTTTTGACATTTTCCCATCTGGTGCATCTGCTAGTGGACGAGTTAAAATGAAGAAAAAGAAAGCCTGGTTTTACCCATCGTTCTGTGACTTGTTTGGAAGAGAAACTGGCAGAATTGTTGTCAATGTAACATGGTTATGAAAGAAGGGAAGAGCCATTTCATCATTCCATCGATGAACTTCTAAGAGAAAAAGTGGGGAAAGGCCCACCATTCACTATGTCAACAGGGAACATCCTCTAGTGCAGGGGTCTCCAAACTTGGCAACTTTAAGACTTGTGGACTTCAACCCCCAGAATTCTTCAGCCAGCTTTGCTGAAGTCCACAAGTCTTAAAGTTGCCAAGTTTGGAGACCCCTGCTCTAGTGCTTTACCAGTTCAGTAGAAAAATAGAGGGACAGAGCTGTGGTCTCTTTTGAAAGGGGCAGATGGCCCAGGCACCCAGGACAGAACAGCCTGGGGTGGGGGAGCCAGGACAGTAGGGAAGGGAAATCCATTCCTTTGTACATAGTAATCAATTTGATAAGGAAACTTTTGCCTACAAAGCAGTGAGCATAGGAATCAAAACAACACTATTTGTGCCATCAGATAGCTCTATTTTTGATGTGTAGTACAAAAAGATGGGCAGAGTATATATGTTTTCAGTGGACTGGAGGTGATTAAAAAATTATGTAGTGTGTTCTTCTCATTGAAAAGTGGTTAGTAGTACTTTTGCTGGGACAACTTGGTTGTTTAAATCAGCTGTGAAAGTGGCCATTTAATGACTGTCAAGTAGTAAAGCAATAATCCAGCTAAGAGCAAACTACTGCAAAGAAGTTCCTCTAACATCCAACTCAACAGTGCATGCAGAAGGATGCTCTGGTTAAAAGGATCACATTCCCTCTTCCCTTCCCCAAACATTCCAAAATCATCCTATAGAATGGCCAAGGTAGATTCCATTCCAAAGTTTATCTTGAAGTGGGATTGAATTGGCTCTAGAAAATAATTTTATTCTAAAAATGTCTAGGGAGTTGTCTGGGAACTACTCATTTGAGTATCAGGCTCATAAATACAATGTTGGCAGGCCGGCCAGTGGGGGTTATACAGTATCTTCCAGGTGTCTTCTAGAGGAAGCACCTAATTCATATCTCATTTTTAAAAGCTAGTATCAGTTTCAGCCTACTGGTAACCCTCAACTTAGAACCATCCAGCACTGGAAAAAGTGACTTACCACCAGCACTCTCACTTACAACTGTTTCAGCATCCCTACGGTCATGTGATGAAAATTTGGGTGTTTGGCATTTGGTATGCATCATTGTCCCGGATTCATGTGATCACCATTTTCAACCTTCCTAATTGTCTTCCAACACGAAAAGTCAATGAGGTAAACTGAATTCACTTAACAACTGTGTTATTAACAACTGCAAGTGAGTCACTTGACAACAATGGCAAAAAAGGTCATAAAATTGGGCACGACTCATTTAACAAATGCCATGCTTAATATCAGAAATTCTGGTCTCATTTGTAGTTGTAAATTGAGGACTACCTGTATTAGATCTAATCTCCACTCTGCTCTAAAAGATAGTTAGCTGAGCATCTAGTCCATTTCCATAGTCTTTCAAGTAGTCTTCTACTACTTAGGAATTCTTCCATGTTCATTTCTATATTTCAGGTTCATTGGATGACATAGAAAATTTTGTGGTGGTAAAATTATTTTTGTCAGCACAAAATAGATTTAGAATTGCCCAATTGATGCCAATCTGGATTCAGTTGAATTTGGCAAAATCCTTTTTCAAT